GTTTGTTGTTTGTTTTTAACAGATCTCACTACTGGACTTATTTTGTATTTCTTCCTAGGGGACTTAAGCAAATGAAGGTATTGTTTGTCCACACTTTGGGGGGGTGAGCAACTGGAGCCTGCGAAAACATTGAGGCTAAACCAGTAACTAGGTTTTATCAACGCATTGTTGGGAAGCCAAAGTCGCCTACCCAGTTCGCCACCTTAGGGAGAAGACACCTTTGGCCGTCTCGAAGGATGGGACGTCGTACTCCGCACGTGGCCATGAGACTCAGCAAGTCATTGGGCCAACGGTGCTCAAAGGGCAACCACGTGGCTAAATCCATCGAAGTTTTGAGGTGAACCAAGCCCCGAGACTCGGCCGCTGCTTCGTGCGCAGTTCCAACATTGAGTCTTCCAAATTGGGGACCCTGAAATTGGTGGGGTTTCCTTTGGTTTCTCTGTCAACATGGTGCCCGGTTTTTGCCCCCCCCCCCCCGATGTGAAGTTTGTACGGCTGTAGATGTTCGCGGTTGTAGTGTGCCAGCTCAACCTCTGCCCGGGATCCTGGACTCTGTTAGGGTGTTGACGTCCTTCTTGGCGCGGAACGTATCTTTCAGTGCTGCGAACGAGGGGCTGTGATTACCCTTGAGCAGACATCAACAAGAGCAGCAGGAGTTTCGCTTAGGGCCTATGATATAGGACCGCAGGCAATTGTGTGTGTGTGTGTCAAAATGTAGGTGTAACTGTAAGTACTCCAAGTGTGAGTGCGCATGTTGACTTATATTCTGGGGTCGAACTAGTCAAGAATTATTAATTGTGTCCAAAAGGAACAGTCATAGCAGGTGTTTTAAACAAGATCTTACAACCACTGTTTGGCACGTGCTCTGCTTTCTATTTCAGCACAGACATGCCTTGATGTTTAAAAAATCACGCAATGACACACATGATGAATATCAAAATATATATGTGCATATATATATATATATATATATGTACAAACATGTATACAACACATATGCATACTATACCAACAAAAGAGAAGACACACATGTGCACCGCTAAACATGTGTTCTCGTGGGATCCTCGACCTTCCTTCAGGTCTGGGAGCTTCCGCGGGCGGAGGGCGCGGTGAAGACTGTTGCGTAGGGGACTTGGGAGACGAGTCGCGGGCGATCCACGAGGGTTTAGGGGGCTGGGGGGTCTGAGGGGCTGGGTCTGAGGGTTTTCCTGAGGGGCTGGGGGGGGTGGGGGTGGGGTTTTGCCAACATCATCTCATGGTTTGCCTTTTCCACTGGAAGAAATAAACCTGGTGTACCCTGGAAAAAGGGAGGCTGTTCATTGCAAACTCTCAGGCAAACCTTGGTGCTATGGAGTGGTTTGGATTTGGAGTTGAACCCCTGGTTCTTGTGGATAAATAAAGTCCCCCCCCTACCCTCCAAACCACCAAACCACGCCAATTGGGGAAGAAGCAGAAGAAATGATCAGCTTGCCATCCTGAAAGGAAGATCCTTGGATGATGCGAAGCTCCAAGCCGGTTTCAAACTATGTCCCCCAGTAGAGCCCTTCTCTCCCCTTTTTTGGTTGGGAGGGTTCCCCTACTAAAATGGACCAAACTGAAACAAAAGCTCGGGTACCAACTTATTCTAACCTTTCTGCTGGAGGACCTAGCTTAACTTGCTGGTGCGAGAGATGCAGGGAAGGAGAATGGGAATGACCCCTACAAAAACTTATCCAACTGGTGGGTTTCCTTTAAGGGTAAACTAAGGCGAAGCTGACTCTGGGCTCAAGAACCATGTTTCCGTCCCTTGGCCGGGGATTTTGGACTTTTCTTCTGAACCTTTAATAGCGGGTGTTTGTTTTTTTCTCTTTTTCTGCGTCCTTCGCTACACCATGGAAAAAAGGCAGATTCAGGGGTTTCAGCTCATTCGATTGGACAAATCCATGGAAAAAACCAGATTTCATGAGGTTTCAGCTCATTTGATTAGACAATCCATTTTGGTCTTAAACACATCAGGAGGTTTCAGCTCATTTGACTAGACAAATCCATTTTGTTTTAAAACAAATTCAGGGGTTTCAGCTCATTTGACTAGACAAATCCATTTTGGTCTAGACATATCGGTCTGACGTCCAACGAGCGTCCCAAAACTGTCTGGTCCAACCATGGGTAGAGCGAGCGACTTAGCACATAATGGTTCCTTACGTGGGAATTAATTACTTAATCCAGGTGGCTACACCTCAAAAGTGGTTGACGACCAGGCTTGGGCAAAATGGGCTTGAACAAGGAAACCCCTGGTACCATTTGAAAGAGAACCCAAGGGAGCTGTTTTGGAACAGCATCTGCAGGGCTCTTATAAAGTTTCAACAGGTGGGTGTGTCAATTTTCGATGGTACCCCTTTTTTGGTTGGTCTTCAAGGGGAACTTTTCTTTGGAAACCAACCACTTTTGTGGTCCCCAAAAGGATGCACCCAGGTGGGTGAGCCTTTTTGTTGATGGTACCCCTTTTTGGCTGGGAATCTTCAAAGGAAACCCACCATTTTTTTGGGGGTGGTCCCACCCATTTTAGTCTATTTTAGTGGGGATTGGGATGTTCACTGGGGGTACGATTTGGATTTCGACCCATGGCCATGTCTTTTCACAGGGCATCGGGTCTCCGCAGGTTCTCCCGGGATGGCGTCAGCCTGGCGGTCGCGGACTTCAGCGGCAACTGCGCGCCCGGGGGCCCTCGCGCGAGTCAGGCCCTGTGAGGCTCCTGGGGTCCGAGGCCTATGTAGGTGTGTCTTTTTTTAGGCTGTAACCCCTCTTTCCCCCACAAAAAAAGAGAAACAAGGTGGTGGGTGTCCTTTTTTGGTTTCCCCCCCCCCAATGGCGCACCGGGTTTCCCCCCCCCCCAAATGGCGCACCGGGTTTCCAAATGGTTTCCCTGTAAAACTCCTCAAAAACGGGCCCCAAAAACAGACAGACCCATGCTTCCTTTGGGCGGTTCATGGGTTTGTCTCAAAGGAAGCGGACTCCCCAAAGTAGCTTTCGTTTCCGAAGGGTTTCCTTCTGACCCGAAGGGTACCCCTAAAAACGTTACGGATACCAACTCCCTTGGGTGTTGGGACAGGATGGCGGCCCCAAATTCGGTTTCTTCTTCTTTCAGGCTTGGGCCGGGATGGCAAGTTGCGCCAGACTGCTCGATGTTGTCTGTGGCCATGGCGTATTTTCGATTTGGGCGGCTGCGCACAGAAGCTGAGGAGCCCGAAAACCCATGGGCCCACTTTTGGTTCCGAGCCCCTGGAGGTTGGATTTTTACCTGCTTCGGGCGCAAAAGTCGCATTGCCCCTTTGGCAAGTGCCCCCCGCAATGGCTTTGGCTGCGATTTTTTGCTTTCCGCGCACGGGGCATTTTGGATCCTCACATTGGTGGCTCGTCGTTTTTTTTCTTCGACGCCCGCCTCCCAAATGGTGGAAACATGTCTTCCCATGGAGCACATGTCTTCAAGGGGACCAGTGCAAATGGGTTTCATTTTGGCTTGCCTTGAAACATCGGAATCAAAGGAGGCCCTTCTTTGGGGCGGAGGGGGTGTGGTAACTGCTGGCTGGGCTGGACACAAACAAAGGGAACGAATCAAAGAACTGATCGTCTTGAAGACTTGTGGGCATATGTATACATATTTATACAACACGTACATATATTTACGTTGCTGATGCAAAACACTGGCAGCGGCAGCACCGAGGCGCTGAACATCACATCTGCTGGCTCTTGCTCTGTAAGTGTTCAAGTCCAAGCAGGCAGCGTGCGCACTCGCGAGTTGTGACCCGCTTTTGCGGGCAGCGTCGCGCGACATGCTTTTGCGCAAGGATCGGGTCTGGCTGCAGCGCGTTGAAGCTTTGGGCTACGCAGCGCGCAGCCAATTCTGCTGTGATTTTGATAGCGCTGGCCTGTCTCATTTCCCTCTTCTGATCGCATGGCCAGCATCACCCGCATGAATCGTGATGATACTAGTATTGCTGGGGATGCTGTCCAGCACCAGGCGACCAAAAAAGCTCGTGGTTATAGACTTCTCTGACCCTTGTGGATGCAGAGATTCTGGAGGCGAACGCTGCGTGAATCAGTGGAGGTTTACGGATCGCTCGCAGCCTGTCGCTTTGAGTCGCTGTGCTACTTGTGCAGAGCGGATGGCAGAGATGGAAGCAGAGACTTAGGGTGCAAAGTTGCAAGATCAGCTGGGCAAGAAGGTCAAGTTATCAAGCGGCGGAATTCTTCACTGGTGTTTGCCTGTGCTTTGCTGAAGGCTTTGCTGGCCTAGGCCCTAGGCGTAATGGGTGCGGGTTTGCTTGGGCGTTGAGCTGGGGGTAGAGGAGAGCCAGAAAAACTTTGGTTGAGTTTCTGCGCCCGAGAGGCAGCATCACGGGAGACTTTCTCCGCTCCTGCAACGCCATGGGGAAAAACCGGTTCAAATTAAATTTGGTTTCACCTTGAGCCGGCATTTCAACAAATGCGACTTTCGAGTCGCTTAACACACGAACTCCTTTCAAGGATTGCTGGTAAAGGGTCCTCTAGGTCGTGTGTGGTCAGAACTTACTAGGACTTAAACACGAAGCAACTTCTTGTAAGATTGAGTTGGGTTTAAATTTCTCGAAAGTAGAATCAAAAACTCCTAAAGACGTGTTTGCTATGTAAAAGACGCAACACAGGACCATAGTCTGGAGGGACTGCTGTGACACGGACCCAAAAAGCACAACAACCTGGGTCCTTCGGGGGTGGCGCATATATATATATCTATCTATATTATACACACATCTCTACGCATAAATGACACACATGTGTGTACACATATATACACATGTATGTGTATACCTCTATATGTATATATGCACGTAACACAATTGTATATAACTATTTATTTATGTACATATATTTATATGTGTGTGTTGTAAATATCAGCAAATATATAAACAAATAAATATATATATATATATACGTATATACATGTACACACGCACACATGTGGATTGGCTCATTCGGCGCGCGCGTCTGCCATTGTCTGCGGTTCTTTGAGTCGTGAGGCTCTACAGCGCCTCGAGCAGGACCTGCACCACCCGGGTGCAGGCGCTCGGGGTGGGGGCACCGGCGCCTTTTTGGGAGCCCTGGGCCTGGTTGGCTTAGGACAGAGAATGTGCATGGTTTCTTGGGGCTAAGGTAATCCCATGGTGTATTCCTTGACTGCTATTGGGTTGGATCTTTAGACTTCAACTTTTTTGGCAAAGCAAGGGGTTTTCCACTAAACCCCCAAAAGTTAAAGTTTTTGCAGGGGGGTCAACAGCAACCAAGACAAAGCGTCAAAATGAGGGGGGGGGGAGCAAGATCATGGTTCTTGGTGTTCCTTCCAGCGAACTTGACTTGCTGGTGAGTTAGGCAGGGAATGAGTTGAGGGAATCCCTGGGTTCATTCCCGCATTTGCTACTGAGCAGCAAGAAGAGGACCCCGGAAATATAGGTCTGGCCTTTTTTTTTTTGAGGTACCCCCCTTCCAAAAATTGTTTTTACGGTGTTGCTTTTGGTGTCCCGTTGATTCGCCTCCCAAGAAAGGGGGCACCCTCCAAAAAGAACGGCTTCTGCATCCCGAAGGATCAACAATGCCCAAATGAAACACATCGTTCTCCTTGTTTTCACAGTATTCGTCAATGAACACTCTTGGGTTCGCACATTTCAAACATGCCCAATTCAACATCTCTTTGGCGAGACTGGTGTTTTGCTTTTCAAGCTTCGCCTTGGGGAATCGAGTACCCTTGCATGGAGATCGAATTGTGCAAGATCCCGTTAAAGTTGTTTTTATTGCTGCTCTGTGAATGTTTGGCCATGCACCCCGTTCCAAACGCCCTTTTACTTGGGGTTAGCAGGTGCAAACACGCCGCCCAAATGCGATGGCACATATAGGTCGGCCAGGAGGTTCGGCCGACTTCCCATGCAGCAGTGGTGTTCCCTCAAGCTTCCCTCAAGCGACCTCCCGGAACGAGCAATAGCAAGCTGGGCAAACTGCTATAGTTCTCCCACCTGCATCACGGGATCCATAGTTGCGGGGACTTCACCGGTGAGGTTGCAACTCAGCTTGCAATAATTTGCCCGAGAACATGAACAGTCACCTTTTCCGGTTCTTTCTGAACCCCCGTTCCACTAAAATCGGATGGTTGGGTGGATTCCTCGGCTATAGCAAAGGTTTGGTGTTCCGATATGCAATCCGTTTCGCACCCTACAGTACCCTTCTGGCGGGTTCACAGCTTCGGCGCATACGTTTACCGTACCCAGTTGGGCCTGTCTTCGAGCTTGCGCCAGTGACTCTTGAACCGTTACGCCTGGTTTCGATTGGTGGTTTGGGGAATCAAAATTCTGGCCCTTGTAGGAAATGGGAAACCACCCCCCGAACACCTCTGAACCACATCCGGTGGTAAAAGCGGCGCTTGGCGCGCCAGTGCCCGGTGGCTGCGCCGCGCTGCATGGCCTTCTCACCGGCACGGCGCCCGGTTTGGATCCGGTCAAGCGGCTCGCGTTTTTGACGCGGTTTGACCGCAACCAAACGAGCCCTTCTGTGGCTCGTTTCTGTTCCTATGTTACTGGGATGCCAGGGGTAAATGAGCCATGTACCCAAGCGCTGCTGCTTTTTGTTCGCTCTCCCTCTCTCTCTCTCTCTCGTTCTCTCTCTCTCTCTCTCTTCCTTTCTTTCTTTCTTTCTTTCTTTCTTTCTTTCTTTCTTTCTTTCTTTCTTTCTTTCTTTCTTTCTTTATTTCTTTCTCTTTGTGTGTCTCTCTCTCTCTCTCGTTCTCTCTCTACTTGGTCAACTTGTTTTTTTTGTTAGTACTCTTTCTCTCGGGTGTTTCCTGTTTGAGTGATCCCCTTGGGTGTTTCCTCCTTTGTTTGGGTCTTTTTTGGTCTTTCCGTTTCCGTTTTGAACGTAGTCGACACCCAGAGAACGTGTTGCATCCAACCAGGAGATGGCCAAGCCGGGACCAAAACCTGAAACTGGCCGATGCTCAAAACCGGGCCTTGCAAAGGTATAGATCTGCCGCTAACTTGTAATGGGTTCATCGATCTGGGGGCAAAGAGAGCTCACCCTGGGTTCTGGACTTGGAGATCCAGTTCTTTGATCGATTGGGGATTGTTGCTTGTTTTTCTTTTGCAGATGTGATGTAGCTGCTCAAACAACATCTACCAAAATGGCACCTTGGAAAATGAAGGACTCACTGCGGTTGGCCCTAGCTTCACTTCTGTGCCACTACATGCGGATACCAACTGGTTGGGAGGCGCTTCGCATTGGCCCGGACCGGGAGCCTCCGATTGTTCCAGCCATGGACCCTCAAGGGGGGCTATGAGGGGGAGCTATCCCTATTAGTCCCTTGAGAAGGCTTTACTAAGGGCTGATCCTTGGCGTATCCTGGGCTTGCGCAGGGATAGCTTCTCCCCCCCCCCCCCCGGTGGTCCCCCCTAAAAGTCCATGATCCAGTCTTCGTGTTGAGGCTGAGACATTGCAAGCAGAACC